GAGCCTCCGCTCTCTCCCTCGGCTGGACCGCTAGCCTCTCAGCGGAAGGAGATCTGAATGGCTTCACCTCTGAACTGCAAGTGGTTCACACTCCGGAAGTCGCCTTGAAGCCTCGGAGGAAAGGCTGGGTGTTTGTAATTTTTTGCAGGAATTCGCTAGATAATGGCACAATTCCAGGTCCACTTGTCATTCATTTCCTTCACACATTCACTCATTATTTGTTGAACAACAACTAACTCCACTCCAGGAATCAGGGTGGGAAGTGAAAAGTAGTTACAGGGACCTCACAGGTCCATAGCATCACGGGGTCTGCTGCTTCGGACCAAAAAACATAGGGGTGCCTAGTCATCTTCGTTATGCCCCTCTTAACCTCCACCCGGTTAACCAGAGTTTACCCAACACTCAGGTACACCCCTCCCAAAAGAAAACAAGACAGTTTGTAATTCTAAAAATTACCAACGACATTCGAGAGCAAGTTCTTTGTTTTGCATAGGAGGAAACTGAAGCCCAGGGAAATAGTTGAAAGAGCTTGCTCAAGGTCACAACTAAGACTCAGGACCAGAAACAAGTCTTCTCTCAGTCCAGTGCTATTTTCACTCTGTTTCATGCACATACTTAAAAAGTATAACCCATATACCAGGGACATCTGTAGGCCCAATGGCAAAGGCGGGAAGGTGGCAGTGTTCTAGACTTTAAACCAGTGATTCCCAAAGTGGGCGCTACCGCCCCCTGGTGGGCACTGCAGCGATCCAGGGGGGCGGTGATGGCCACAGGTGCATTTGTTTTAACTTTTTTTGTATTACCTTTCTATTTTGAGTTCAATAAATAGTTTCATAATTTCAAACTTCAATGTTTCTAATTTACACCTTTCTTTACTATATTTTACGAAAAAGGTAGAAACATTAATACATATATCTTTCTGTTTAATTGCTATTAAAATTTAAAAAAAATTAATTTCCAGGGGGCGCTGAGTAATATTTTTTCTGGAAAGGGGGCGGTAGGCCAAATAAGTTTGGGAACCACTGCTTTAAACCTTCAAGCAAAAACCTGATCAAAATAGTACTCTCACTCAGACAACAGCCTTATGGTTAATCTGGCCACCAGTTAATTTTAAACGTATTCACTTTTGTGAATAGCTAATGCATACACATAATAAAAAAGTCAAGATAAATTTTCCTGTCCTTCAGCCATTCAGTTCTCCCCAAAACATTTGTTACCTAATTCCAGAGATAATCTAAGCATGGTCAACTGTATAAATGTGAAACTTTAAAAATAAATAATCAGCCTGGCCGGTGTGGCTCAGTGATTGAGTGTCGACCTATGAACCAAGAGGTCAGGGTTCCATTCCAGGGCAGGGCACATGCCCGGGTTGTGGGCTCAATCCCCAGTGTGGGGCATTGTGGGGAAGCATGAGACTTGGTTGGGAAGTTTGTAAGGAGGACATTCTGAGAAAAGGGAAGTGTGAAGAAAGCCACCTGCCCTGTTTATTGGAATTCCGACTTAGGGAAGTGCCGAAGGCAGTCCCCTAATTATTCCTTGACCTTTCCAAACAAGTCTGTGCATGAGCAGACCTCCGGGTGTTTACTGCGATCCTTGTGCTTAATCTTTAGGTGTCCTTGCTTAAAAGACACTACAAACACATGTGTCCTCCCAAGATTACTTACCCTGCTGATTGTATCTAAAAGAAACTTTAAAAAAATTAATTAATTAATTAATTTTAAAAAATAAAAGAAATAAAAGAAACTTTATTTCAAACTGCTGCTACAATAAAAGCCTAAGGAGGCAGGCAATTGAGGCTGCCTGGTTCCGTTAGCCAGGCTGTCCCTTAGCCCTCTCTTTCACAGCAAACGTTGTGTCGGAGTAATCCATTCATCCATTGCTCAGGGTCCACTGGCCAGCCCCAGCAGGGCGTGCAGGAGGCAGCCGATCAATGATTCTCTCTCATGGTTGATGTTTCTATCTCTCTCCCTCTCCCTTCCTCTCTGAAATCAATAAAAATATACTTTTAAAAAACAATAATCAACATACTTCATGCATGCCTATGCCTGTCTCTTGGTCATAGCAAACTCAATTTTCCCCAAAAGCACCCCCAAAATTACCTTCTTAAAGGGAACCAAATCATCCTCAGCTTAAGTGCTCTATGACCCAATCCTCTCCAACAGGACTGCACAGTCTATCATTATTTGTTCCTCTGCCCACCTCTCATCAGAATACATACCAATAGATCCTATGGAAGGGGTTTCTTGCCAAGATTATTGACCATATCACTCCTTCCCAATTCCACTGTCAGCTAAAGGGGCCTCAGGGCAATTTCTTGCACTTTAAGCTTCTTTTCTTGGAGCACCCCATCAGCTGATTTAGACATCTGACATTAGCTATGTAAAACAAAACCTGCCTCATACTCAGCAGCATCCTGTAGAACCATTCATCATGCCTGGTGAATGCGTTGTTCTTGTTGAAAGAAAAAATTCATGCTCTAAAAGAATCTGGCCTAAGGATCATTGAATAGGAGAGTTCATACTCTCATCAATAGTATAATTCATTTATCTTTCCCTGCAATACTAAGAATGCAAGGCATATAAAAACAAAAGAGGTTTAGGGGCAACCCATACCTTTTTTTTAAGTTAAACATTTTAAAAATATATATATATTTTTTATTGATTTCTGAGAGGAAGGGAGGAGATAGAAACATGAATGATGAGAGAGAATCATTGATTGGTTGCCTTCTGCATCCCCTCCCCCGCCCCCCGCCCACTGGACAGGTGCCCTACCACAACCCAGGCAGGTGCCCTGACCAGGAATTGAACCGTGGCCTCCTGGTTCATAGATTGACACTCAACCACTGAGCCATGCCTGCTGGGTAAGTTAAACATTTTATTTTGAGATGATGGTAGATTAACATTCAATTGTAAGAAATAATATAAAGAAATCCCTGTACCTTTTAACTAATTCCCCCAATGGTAATGTCTTGCAAAACTTTAGTATAATATATCACAACCAGGATATTGACATTGATATACTCAGTACATAGAACATGTTTTCCTTTCTGATATGAATGCCTTTTATTGCCTTGTCTTGCCTTATTGAATTGGCTACAACTCCTGGCACTTTGTTTAATAGGACTGATGAGAGCAGACATACTTTCTGTGTTCCCAATTTTAGAAGGAAAGCATTTGGCCTTTATTAAACCATTAAGTATATTATCAATTGTAGATTTTTTTGTGGATACTCTTTATCAAGTCGAGGAAGTTCTTTTCTATTCCTATTTTTCTGAGAATTTTTAATATCAAGAATTAATGTTTAGCCCTAACCGGTTTGGCTCGGTGGATAGAGCAGCAGCCTGCGGACTGAAGGGTCCCAGGTTCGATTCCGGTCAAGGGCACATGCCCGGGTTGCAGGCAGGAGGCAGCCAATCAATGATTCTCTCTCATCATTGATGTTTCTATCTCTCTCTCCCTCTTCCTTCCTCTCTGAAATCAATAAAAATATATTTTTTTTAAAAAAGAGCCGAAACTGGTTTGGCTCAGTGGATAGAGCGTCGGCCTGCGGACTGAAAGGTCCCAGATTCGATTCTGGTCAAGGG